AGAGCGCCTTCTTTCTGCAGAGAGAGACGAGGCAGGAGGCCACATTTCTGGTAGTAACGCTGAGCTGCCTGCTCACACAGCCACGACACAGAGCAGGAGTTGGCCTCACTGGGATGCAGAGCAATGAGAGGTGATTAAACAGAAATTAAAAACAAAACAACAACAAAAAAAACCCCAAAAAAACACTATACCAATCAGATTGGGATTTATTTTTATATACTGCTCAAACTTAAAACTTTTCACCGACCTTTGTGGAACTGGGATCAGGAAGACGTCTTCCTGAACCCAGACCCTCATTCTGATTGGTGGAGGAAGTGACGTGGGCATAGGAGCAACCAAAGTTTGAGTTGGAGGCTAGAGTAAACAAAATAAAACATTCAAGCACTGTTAAAACATCTGTATTTAATGTCATCAACTCTTTGTAGAAAGACAAAGCAGAGTCTGTACTAGAGAAATCAGGAGACCTGACGAGGGCAGTATTACGCCTTTTATACCTCCAGCCTACCGTAAATTCAGTAGAAGAAGAATAGCAGCAATGGCGCCATTGAGAGGTCCCATCGCGATCCTGAATTAAGTTTGAAGATGTTGGTTTGGCCGTGTCGGTTGTTGTTACAATAATGTCTTCAGTTCAGAATCTTAGAGAGTTTATCAAGGAGAGATTAACTTCTGCTGCAGAAGAAATCTTCTCAGAGTTTGAAAAAACGATCGTCCGGTATGAGGAAGAGATCCGTCAGCTAAGACTGCTTGATATCAGACCCGGGATAAAGTCACACAATACAGGTGTGGAGGTGTGAGGGTTGCGGGATCATCGTGTGATTCACGTGGGCATGATCTAAATGCATTGAACTAGTAATACACCACAGTAAAGTGTATGAAGTTATATCTGTGCAGTGTTGAGAAGGTTACTTTTAAAATGTTTTCCACTAAAGATTACAGAATACATGGCCCAAATGGAGTTTGTAACTATTCCGTTAAGTTACTCAATGTGAATAACGTATTCTGAATACTTTGGTCCGGATTACTTTATTACTTTATTACTTGCTTGTTACAACTACTTGAATGTACTATTGCTGTGTGAATTATTGCTATAACTGAAGGCTACTAGCTACCGAGCTAACATTGTTAGCTGGCTTTAGCTAAAGTTATTTCATAGACTAAAGACTGTTAGACTTGATTCATAGCATTAACATCCTGCTAGCTACAAACAATCATGTGCAGTTCTGAAAGCAATCTCAAGTTATATTGTCTCTGTATTTATATATATATGTGTGTGTGTGTGTGTGTGTGTGTGTATATATATATATATATATAATATTCTGTAACTCTGTAACTTCTGTCGGTGCTGTGCTTTTTTGGAAATCGAATTTCCCAGAGGAACCCACCCGAGGGATTAATAAAGTTCTATCTTATCTTATCTCTTATCTTATCTTAAGTAAATTTTTAAATCGTGATGTAAAATGAGTAACAGTAGAGTGGACATTAGGCAAGGCTGCAGTTTTTGCAGCGATCTCGTATAGAACACAATTTCTGTATCAGTAATAGGTTTTCTTTCTGTTTGCTTTCAGAACTGCACATGATTATTTGCAGGTAGCAGGTTGTAATGCAGCCTTCAGTAATAGTAATGAGTCACACAGCAATAGTACATCGAAGATTCTGAAGTGAGACATAACCTAGATAGCTACATAAACTAATACAAGGTAGTTGTAGTAGGCTTACGTTAGGGCTGTACAATCAATAAAGATGAGGCAGAACCTGGTAGCTCCAAACAGAAGGACCAGTCAAAACAAATTGAGGATGTTATTCCTAAATGAGGGGCTCCCCCTGTTGCACGGACATGGTTTGGTTATGAAAAGTCTGACACGGATCAGAAAACTGTACTATGGAAATTATGCCCAGACTGGTTCCCACCACGGCCTCAAACATGACAAACCTCTTCGACCACCTACGCATGAATCATGTGAAAGTTTGTGGAGAGAGTTTATAGACGAGAAGCAAAAAAGAGCCATCAGGTGCTCAAAATAAACCTTAGACTCACACGTTAGAACAGGCTTTTCCCCCACGTGTAATAAATACTCAGAAAGAAAATGGCGGCCGTTACAACATATATCTAAAAATATATAGTGCATTGGTCAAAATACTCGACTCCAGGTACACGACACCCAGCTGAAAACACTTCATGAAAGTCAAGTTGCCCGACATTCACAGAATTTACAGAAAAAGCACTATTTTGTCATATATATCATTATCGGGACGAGAAACGTCTTATATTGGGATATGAGATTTTGGTCATGTCGCACAGCCCTAGCTAATGTTAGTCTTTAAAAAAAGAATGTACTTCCAGATGTTGCTTTCGGGTGGAGTCTTTATAGTTGAGAGCAGCTCGGTTGCTGGGTCCATTGTATAACTGACGCCACCAACATTACCAAGACACTTACACTAGAGCTTCTTGTTGCGTGATTTGTTTGGGTTTCCGGTAATGCGTGAAATCAACAAAATTAGAGAGGGTATAGCCTGACATATGAAACAGGAAAAGACCATCGTGTAATCCATTTATTTAGAAGTAACTGTATTCTAATTATTACCAATTTATCGGTAACTATCGGCAGCACGGTGGCACGGTGGTTAGCACTGTTCCCTCACAGCAAGAAGGTCCTGAGTTCAATTCCACCATCAGGCCGGGGTCTTTCTGTGTGGAGTTTGCATGTTCTCCCCCTGTTTGCGTGGGTTCTCTCCGGGTACTCTGGCTTCCTCCCACCGTCCAAAGACATGCAGCTTGTGGGGATAGGTTAATTGGATAATCTAAATTGCCACTAGATGTGAGTGTGAATGGTTGTCTGTCCCTATGTGTTAGCCCTGCGACAGACTGGCGACCTGTCCAGGGTGTACCCCACCTTTCGCCCTATAACAGCTGGGATAGGCTCCAGCGCCCCCTGCGACCCTAAAAAGGATAAGCGAATGGATGGATGGATATCGGAATACAGTTACTCATGTTTTGTATTTTAAATGCATAACGCCGGTACATGTATGCCGTTACTCCCTAACACTGCATCTATGTAAACATACTTACGGCCACTTTGTTAACTACACCCGTTCAACTACTCTTTAATCCAAAATGTAATCAGCCAATCAGATGGCAGCAGTCCATGCATTTCTGCATATAGCGATCAGTGACGGTGATTGAAATCACTTTGATCATGGTGTGGGTGTTGGTGCCACATTGGCTGATCTGAGTATTTCAGAAACTGCTGATCTGTTTAAATTTCCAGCACAAACATCTGTATGATTTACAGAGAGTAGTCCAAAAAAGAGAAAATATGCAGTTCCCTTAAAATGACATTGAGTTCTCTGTACTCGGGTCTCCAGAGTCACCAGCTCTCAACCCAACAGAGCATCTTTGGAATGTAGTGGACCATGAGATTTGCATCATATTTATTAGTAAAATGTTAAAAGATTAGCATTAACAGCATATCTTACCTGCCATCGTAAAATACTTTAAGCTTTCATGATCATATTCAGATCATGCTGCTGTTCATTTGTTTGTTTATTCACAGTGCATGATGATCACTGGCAGTCACATCTAAAAATCAGACCCCAGACAGTCGTAAGGTTATCAACATTGTTCATCCAGTGAACAAATGACTATCAGTGAATGTTTCTGTGGCAACATAAAACACAAGCTAAATTCTCAATAGGTGACCGTTTTCATCCTTCTTGAGCTTTCTTATCATCACATTAGTCACTATTTTCTTGTGTCCTTTTGTTGAACACGAAGGTCTGAACGATCAGCAGTTCTGTGACCAGGAGAGGAGCTCCAGTCTCAACCAGGAGGACCCAGAGCCTCTACAGATTAAAGAGGAACAGGAGGAAATCTCCACCAATCAGGAAGGAGAGCAGCTTGCACTGAAGCAGGAGGATGAAGGGATTACTGTCTGGACCGGAGAACAGCTGGATTTGTTGTGGAAACCTGGATCACGGCTGACCAGATTTGGTATGTAAAAGTGTAATAAGCAGATTTCATAATATAGAAATGAATATGACTTATAACAAAATGTCACAAAGACACATGGCGTGCATTACCGCCTGGGATACTGCCTCACTGGAGACATGTTTTCTGTTTCAGATTTAAGTCATGTTAGCCCAGAACTGTACGCAGAATGTAGAAAAATGTTGAGACAATGAAAACTGTGGATTATTGGCCACAAGGACCAAGTTGGAGTAGTGAGCTGTACGCCTCATAAATGATGACTTTCTGCATGTAAACAGAATTCTTCTCTGTTCGCTGCATGAGAGAGAGTATTTAAATATCGCTCACATATCTGAGAGACCTGCTCACAGTGTGACTTTTTTCTTGTGTGTTCTGTCCATCAAGACCTCCCACAGCAACATGATTGTAAGGAAAATGAGGATCTGGATGACCCGCAGGTCTGTAGCCAGGAAAGGAACTCCAGTCTGGACCAGCAGAACACAGATCCTCCACAGACTAAAGAGGAACAGGAGGAAATCTCCACCAATCAGGAAGGAGAGCAGCTTGCACTGAAGCAGGAAACCAAAGGCATCATCATCTGGACCGGGCAGGAGCTGGGCATCATGTGGAACCCTGAAGTAAAGTTGCACAGAATAGGTATGCAAAACTTTAATAGATAGATTCAGTTTTGTATTAAGAAATCTAACTCATGTTGGGTCCTAATCAGACCTCCAATATACTTTATAGAGGCACATGAAGAATTTAAAGACCGACTGCAATAAGGAAACTGACGTAATATTCTAAGAGCCAAAATGTCTAGCCCTCCCAGTGTCGCCCCTGTCAGGACTGTCTTATGTTGAAAATAATTGAGTACAAGAGAGAGGAAGACACCCTACAATGAGTTGAAACGTCAGCTTGTTATTTATTCCTCCATATTCATATTTGTCATTCATATGGTCACTTTGTTTGTCCCTCCAAATTGCAGTCGTCACTCCTTCGCCTGTGCTGCGCCCCTGCACCTGCAGGCACACTTACAGTGAATATCAAATTTAATAACAGGAAATTAACTAGGCATGTACTTTTCTTTCTTTTTTTGGCCACATTTTTCAAGTGACCTATATTTGACAACAGCATATAAAAAAATAAAACAAAAAAAAGAACTTTAAATTATGTTTTTGGTGTGCCATCTCAATGTTTTCAGTGGCCCCCATATGGCCACCCATTATGACTGAGTACATCCACTAAACCTTTTGTGGATAACATAACAATCCCCATGAGGACTGAACGATCAATTTAAAAATAAAATATATCGATTTGAAACTAAGCTTTTAGCAAACCACACAACACTATGATAGGTGTGTCCTTGTGCCATGTGTTTCTGGGTCTTTCTTCTTCTTTCCCTTTGGATTCCAGCACAAGGCCTGTGTAGTGATGTTATTGGTGGACTTCCTGATTGTGTGGCCAATCCAGCACCACTTTCTCTCAGAACTGTATTGCTATTGGTTTCTGGTTTGTACTTGTCCACAGTTTGTAATCCTCTCTGGCCACTGGATACGGAGGATTTGTTTTAAGCAGCTGCTGATGAATGTCTGCAACATACAAAGCGCTGTCTTTGCTTCATGTTTACGAGCTATAGAGAAGTATAGGTGTGACCCTGATTTTAAAAATGCTCAGCTTCAGAATCAGAATCAGAATACTTTATTCATCCCGAGGGAAATTAGGGTTACAGCAGGCAGCACGCTAATGGCGCATGTGCACTTACAAAGGAACCTTCTGACTAACTTTACACAAACATCACATTGGGCAGACATGTCAGAAAGGTAGGCTGATAGGAAAAAACAACGAAAATACACTACATGAGGTAAGAGAAAAAAAACTCCACTCAGACTGAGCTCCTAGTGGGAGAACAGTTTGATAACAGAAAAAACACCTCAGCACAAAAGCACATGACTATCAATACACCATAGAAACACAAGACAAGCAACAGGGGCGGGTAAAGGGTAAGAGAGAGTCGGTGTAGACAGCGCATCCGGTCCTGCAGCATCTGTGCTGGTCCAGTTGACTGCTATCTTCCCCGGTAGGGCACAAGCATCGAAGGCGTTGGAAAGGGAGGGGGGATGAGTGAGTGCCTATCAGTGTGTGTGTGTGCGTGTCCATAGTTTAGCTGAGACAGTGTCCTTCGGCCTATCAGGCTAAGTAAACAGTCCTCCAGCCAATCCAGGTGTCCTTGCATGGGATGGGAAGAATAGCCGTAACACAGCGGTGAAATTTCTGACCTCTTGAGTTTCAAACATTTTTTAAAATGATGTTGTTTATTTTTTCTTACTTTTTTTAACACTAAATTTACTAACCCAAGGTGTTATTCACCCCTACTGAGATTTTCAAAGGTCGTCAGCTCAATTCTCCTGCTTTTGTTGTGCAAACCACCCATTATCTTTGAGGCCTGGCACATTTGCATTTGTTTACTCAGAGTAGCTCAGATCCAAGGCAGGCCAAACCTCTGTGTTACAACCTTCAGAAATGTCTGCCGTATCTATACAAAATATCCCACACATTGACTGACCTGCAAATGTGTAAGACACATTCACAATATATGGAAACACAAGTCTGTTTTATTTATAAAAAATTGTGTGAAAACAGAATGAAAAGTTGCTAATACAATGACATGAGTGACATGTGTGATCTCCCCAGCGTTGCATGGTCTCTCCTTTGCCTGTTCATGTAAAAATAGCAAAACATAAAAAATTAATTCTGTCCCTCAGTTCCAGGTTGGTTCATCTCTTCATCTTTCTGCCTTTTGTCTTAGGTTACTCTCCCACACAGTCTGTCTGTCTGTGTCATAGTCTGTTTGCAGCATTCAGCAATGCAGTTCCTTGACTCTCACCACAGATCTTCCATTGTGACTGTGTATGTGAGGGAGTGGCATTGCATTACTTCAGCACAGTGCTGTGCATAAAAGCAGACAGCCCAGGCTGGAGAATCATTTCTTCTTCGCATTTCTGACAACGCACATCAGGATGGCCTCTGTATCACTGCCTCACAGGAAGAACATCTGCGCGCAACAGGCGCGCATCCATTTCCTTGCTTCAGGAAATGGATGAAGCAGACTCTGATGGAGGAGAGGTTTCATTTGTCCAGCAGGCCACTGATACCTCCTCAGAAGAATCTAAAAAGGAGACAGAACAAGAACCCAACATGCCTCCATGGAAGAGGCACCGTGGTACTGGGAAGCCCAGTCTGAGCCACACGGCAAAAGACGGCACTGTGTGGGTAGAGGAGGACATTGGAATGCCCAGTGCAGTAGCAAATCGCTCGTGCTTCACTCGTGCTGGACCCACAGAGTCTGCTAAGGTCTGTCATTGCCATAGTACGTATGATATTTATATAAAGCCATTTAGAGTGAGGTTCATGTAAATTTACCATTCTCTATTTGTTTATGTCTTGATGCATTCTCAATCATCCAGGAAAGTAAATCTCCAAAAGTTGATTCTGTTCATCTGGACGTAGCGTTTTGTGGGAGAAACGTTTTGTCACTCATCCAAGTGACTTCTTCAATCTCAGCTGACTGCAGGTTTCCCCAAATCTTATAAACAGTAAATTTGCATAATGGTAAATGGCCTGTATTTATATAGCGCTTTACTAGTCCCTAAGGACCCCAAAGCACTTTACATATCCAGTCATCCACCCATTCACACACACATTCACACATTCACACACTGAAACCAGCCCACTGAAGGAACACTGGACTGGGAGGTCAAGTGGAAAAGAGGGCTTTGCTATCCTACCCTGGAACACCATTGGTTCAGATATGTGGATGACACCTGGGTGAAAATCAAATCCCAGGACGTACTACATTTCACGGATTACAGTAACTCGGTGGACCGACACATCAAATTCACCAGGGAGGATATGAAAAGTGGCAGGTTAGCCTTCTTAGACTGCGAGATTTCCATCAGGAATGGGGGACATCTAAAAGCTGACGTGTACCATAAACCTGCACATACGGATCAGTATCTAAGGTTTGACTCTCATCATCCACTGGAGCACAAACTGGGTGTCATCAGGACGCTACAACACAGAGCGAACACCATCCC